TAAAAACAGGAGAAGTGATTTACAATTAAGAAGTATAACGTTTTTCCAATAATACCAATAAGTCAGAGTCATTTTGACTATGTAAGAATGCTAACGTTAGCATTTAGTTCGAGGTACTGCTGCGCAATGTAGCTTAGAGTAAATTAGAATGGCCTTTTTTCATTCATTCTTTCAAACTTCTGCATCATGTGGACACATCAGCCCAACTTCAATTAAAACAATTCTTTCCCTGTGTGATGTACAGTATCAAAACCTCCAATATATTATATTTAGCAGCTCTCGTTTCCTGCTTCCATCTATTCATGCTAACATGGGACCATTATTTGGCACCCTGACTTTGTCCAAGCACCCGTACCAAGTAATGAGACAACCGGGGCCAATTTCCACCAACAATGCAGAGACACTGACAGCCAAAATGTTACTACTTAATGTGCTAAATTATGAGAAGATGTGCACAGCCTCTCAGTGAAATGCTTTCTAAAATATCTGCAAAGAGAAAAAGCCATTGAGATGATTAAATGTGGCTGCTACCATGGCTTTTAGACACTATGTTTAACTGTAACAACTGTGTCTTTATGCTGTTCCTCTCATTCAGTCATAAGGTTTAATGATTGAGCTTTCGTAAATGAACAACCAGCCAAAAAATATTGAGTGCTTCCGCTTTTTTTGCCATGGAAACGATGCTGCCCTCACATTGACATAGCGCCATGATGAATGATTGAGAAAGGAAGCCTTGAGGTCTTTGGCTAATTGTTGAACACATATGTTTTGTGGGGCTGTGGGTGTTAGAGAAAAGACAATCTGAGTCACAAAACAATCTGTATGGAAGAAAGCCTGCAGATATGCATTCATTACCCAGCTATGGGAATGGATTATCAGACGTTGGAGTGAATATGCACATGCTACTATAATACCTCTGGGGGAAAAGGGGTCTGACAACGACACGGAGCCGCCGACATTTACGTCATTTTTAATTTGTCAAATCCATAAACAAAGCGAACGCCAGGTAGCCAATGAGTAATCTGAACGAGACAAATGAAGCGGGGAGTTTCACAGCTGTGTTTGGCTCGCAGCAGAACAGAGCAAGTATTCTACGAGCCAAGGCGCGAGCAACAAGTCATCATCACACAACAGACTAGCAATGCGTCACCACACGGCTCCGCTGCCAGCTCCATTAAAAGATTTGAATCTGCGAAAGTGAGACGAAAGAGATGCCTGGTAAAAGTTAATGGAATTTTTACGAGCTCAATGGACTTGATGAGGACGCTGGTGTCCTCATCAAGTCTGGATCCATTTCTTGCAGACACATTGTGGCTTTTAGTTTATTTAACGTTTAATGAAGTGCGTTTAGGAAAGGTGTTGCATAATGATTGATTCTTTTTTTTTCTTTTAACGGGGGGGAAATGGTTGACGATTAGCCAAAAGGCAGGACTATGTACATCTTTCTACATGTCAGTTGAGATTTGGCAAAGAGACAAGAAATTGCCTGGAAAAGCCGATAAAAAGGAACTGCATATAATACATTTCTCCATTTGCGTAAATTGACTTCTGCCATTTGCAAACAGGCTATATTTAAGAGCACACACCGTAAGATCTATAACGAAAGATATGGTCACAGGAACAAAATGCCAAGTATCTTACTGACCATGAGCCAGACACATAAAAAAATGCAAGAGTGATGAAGTGACAGTGATGATACGAGTTGTGAAAATAAACCAAGGCGACATTCCAGACCTGTGGAGCCACTGTCTGAATGTATGTAGACACCTCATTCAGAGTCAGCCACCTAAAACAGTTCCTACTGTAACCATGTTATCCTGTTAGCCAGGTGTCATCCCGTGGCGTGAGATCCGTTTACATTATTTTGTGTTGGGTTAAATGTACCAAACCCATCATATTTCAGCAAATATGCAAATCCTGATAATCTGACACCTCTAATCTGAACAGAAAAGCGATTTGAAGACACCTCCAGGCGTTGAGAATGAACTCTAATTAACTGCAGGTGATTAGTAATCGTCTCGCTGTGATAAACTCCTGATTAAGAGCACACCATTGGTCCTCCTTTCATGGAGTTTATAGGGTTCATAGAGTGACAGTTTAACTCAAAGACACTCCACTGCCACCCACTGGCAAACAGCAGCCATCACATCATGAACTTAATAGTACAAAATAATGGAAAACTTTCTTATGTTTGATGACGAGCCTGTTTTAAAATGCATGTCAATAACGAAAAACGGTGTGCATGCATGCTTCTGAGAATTCTTTCCTCCCTGCATGATATAAAACCATTTTAGCACCTCATCTGTCTCATGCACGTGCATCAGTATGTGTGTATCTTGCCCAGAAGGTCAGACAGATGTTGTAAACACGAGCCAGTGTCCCTGGAGGATCAGCTCGCCCCACACGCTCTTTGCACTCGAGATAAAGCTCTGCGTGACGACACATCTGCGGCTGTTGGGAGCGCCCGTTGAGGATATGGACCACAGCTGAGCGACCACCTGGGAGTCTGTCACTCATTGTTATGGCTGGCCGTCCAATGACATCACACCGTTTAAATAAATAATACAGGCCACGGGAAGAAAAATACAGCGCATCTTTAAACATTAAGCTCAGCCTTCCAGATCAGACGAGGTCGTGTTTTATAACCAGCTGCATGCAGAGCGCTTGTCCTCTATTTGGCAAGACTTCCTCATAGTCATAACACTGATCACAGGACGGTTTTTTCAAGAATGAATAGGAACAGACTATTAGCATCCATGATACAGTAGTAGGTGTTACCAGGCTAGCATTCAGACCAACTGTACAGCTTTACATTCATCTGGATTCCTCCTTGTTGGAGTTGAAAGACCTCATCAGGAGTTACGATCAAGTAGCCAGTATACATGCTAATTTTAAGCTAACTCCTGGTCACAAAGTAGCATAGGTTTCTGACATTGAATTGCAAGACCAATGCACTCTCCATGTACTGTTTCCCTGCATTAAACCAAAGCTAGCTTGAATTGATTGGTACATAGCCTACTATGTCTGTCTGCTGTTCAGTGCTGAGCAGGGAGAGTACTGCGTGAGTCCACTCCCTGATAACTCCAGATGACGGAGCTCGAAAACGACGCTGATTGGAGCAGTGGGAATAAAACAAAACTTTATAGAGTTGAGATTCTGGGTCTAATGAATTGTTTATAAGTATTTGCTGTAGCAGCTTTAATGGGTCGCACACTTTAAACAATGAAGGACTGATAACATCGAAGCACACTAATGGCTAAGTGACACATTATTTGTCTAGAGGCGGAGAACATTTTAGAGTTTTACACATTATCCTACATGGTGTCACTAAATGGCGTTTGAATGACAAGTCCATTTTTGAGTCATTTGTGTGTTATCACTATGCATCTTTTTGCTTTTCAAATGTCATATCAAATGTCAAATATGAAAGGCTCAGAGCAAGTGCTTCAGAAGTCAGTGGATGTAATGTAAAGAGCGTAAAGTAGGGATGAGGATGGGATGCATGGCTAGAAAAAACACAAAACTGCCTGCTGTTCACATCCTGTCTTAATCCAAAACTAAAATGTTGGCTTACGATGTAGTTTAGTTTGAATCGACAACATTAACAAATAATGAACTTCAAATGCGCCATGTTTCGGTTCGCGTGGACCAATTTAACCCAAAATCATGATCTTTTTCTGAAGACTGACACAGTAGCTTTGCACCCAAACCTAGCCAAATAGTTCTGTTACCTTGTGTTTTTATGTGGCAACTTGAGAATGACAACAGGGTGTTAAATGACACACTAAAAGCTTAAAATGCGTGGACACAACATGCAAAATGTCCTTTAAAAGTGGTGTGCTATGTATACTCTCTCCTATGAGATCATGTTTAACAGTCAAAGAAATACTGGAATGTTGAACAGCCATAATAAAACCAAAGAGGAGGTCTTGTCTCTTGAGACTGTTGTGACTCATACCACAGCAGCCCAAACACGTCTGATGAGGAGAAACTAAGATATTAGCCTTCACAGCTGGACAGAAAAGCAAAAAACGATGCTATCCTAAACTCTTAGCTCGAGTGATGTGGATCATTAACCACATTAATCCGTTTAATGTTTCTCAAGAGCCAGATGTGATTTCTTACAGATTCACATTTCTCTCTGCCTCTGGCCTGACGGAGAAGCTTCTCCCCACCTCCAGTAGCAGCCGACATGCCAATTACCGGGGTTATTTTTAAAATCCTGCTTAACCATAAAGCCCCCCAAAATAGGTCTCAAATAACAGGGTGTCGAATATCACCAACCCAGTGGCACAGATGCAGCCGCTGTGTATCAGTGCCACCAGCAGTCAACACTGGCACACACTGAGAACCACATTCCCCATAATGCATTGGCCCCTGTTGATTTTGTTTTTAGAGTTTCAAATGTTCCATACCCAATCATTAAATCATTTTAATGGGGTTTGATTTGACGACATTGGAGCAAAAAAGTAGGTCATCTGGGCCTTTTAGTTTTATCCTCAGACATTTGGTAAATGAGAGGTTTTCCCATAATGACCCACTTCAGTTCCAAAAGACTTAGATTTTCCTCTCAGAGAAGCCAGCTGAGTCGGAAAAACAAAGCGAGAGAGAGAAGGCCGCCCTCCTCTCTGGCAAAGAGACGTGAACTGTAAGCATTTTTCACCCATGAAATGACGGAAAAACCAAAATTACCAGCGAGTGAATCACATCGAAGCAAACGGAGAGATACGCGACATCCTGTTTTGACTTTCCAATTTTTCAAGGAATATGTCAACAACATGGTCAAGCAATATCCGCCTCGAAAGAGTCATTATATAAAGAAGAAGCTTACAACAGTGATATATACATAGTGCACAGTGTCAGCACTCAGAAACTAGATCTGTATGCCTGAGGCATGACCTCACACTCACCACAACTGACTTTACATTGTAAGGTTGAAAAAAGGAATTTACTTGGAGAGATTTAGAAAACACAAACACAATGAAAATGCAGTTACTTACTGTGTTTCCAACGCCAGGCTTCTCAAACATCCTCTTCAGGTTATCAAGTGGAATGTCAAACCTCTCAATCCTCTTAGCAGCCTGCAGGTCCTCTCGGAGCACAGGATCGTGTGATGCCTCTACCTGCGGCCCAGGGGAACTCTGGGAAACGAAGCCCGAGGTCGCCGACACTGCACTCGCCACCTCCTCTCCATTTCCTGATTGAATTTCCATTGTTGTACAGAAACCGTATCTCCCCCCTTTTTTCCCTTCAGGCTGGTACTTGGAGAGGAAGTGTATTGTGTGAGGTGAGTCAGCAGGGGTGAGTTCGTTTTAAGAGGGTGAGGATCGGAGATGGAGATGCAGGAGTGGGTTCCTCTCTGTCTGCCAGGCTCTCCGGGTCTTGCAGGCACACTGAGTGGCTGAAAGGAAAAGGAGGAGGAAAGGAAAAGTTCACAGGGGAATTTTTTTTTCCTCTCTCCCCTGCCCTGTAATTACTCATGCATACACAGAAGCCTATGTACACTCACAAGTGGGCTCAGAAAGGCAAATTGAGATATGAGAAAAAAGGCCAAAGAAGTGACGACAGGGAAAGGAGAGGGGCTGCACGAGTGAAAAAGTGAAGTTTGACTGATTCTTTAAGTATAACCCACCCTAATACTCTGGAACAACTCAACAAAACAGCTATAATAACTAGTAACTTCAGATTTGACATAGATAATATACTACAAATATATGATATGTTATTATTAGTTCAAGTTAAACCTCTCAACAGAAAATAAAATGGCTGAATTCAATATTACCTTAACAGATAGTTAGCACGCTAGTTAGCTCTGACAGCTGGCTATCAAAATGTTTATTTTCATTCTTTTTAAATATTGAGTTTAAATAAGGTTAAGAAAATGAATTAAAAAATATCCCAAAATGGTTCATTCAATTATTTTTCAATGATTGTTTTCACACATAAGCTACAAAAGACTGTGGCACCCCGAGCAATGCAGAGCAAAGCCACAATTAACACGGGGTTAAAAAAGAACATCTGCAAGCTTTCAGGAAACAAATGAACAACTTTGAACCTCACCCATCCTTCCTGAAACACCACGGGGTGTGTACCAAAGCTCATTATCCCTGAACAACACAAGGAAAGCCCATTACAACTAACCTTACTGGCCTGCGCTGCATCCATGATGGTGGGTACATTGTTCATTTTCCACTTGCCACACCAACACTTCCTTGGGAGTGTTTTCCTGCTTTCTGTTTTGGCACAAAAGGGAAATGAACAAGTTAAGTCTGCTTCCTCCGTGACTCACATTTCAGTCATGTACACAAAGTGTGATTTTCACTACATTGGAGGAAATTGGGCTTTGTAAACTAGATTAGTTCAAATCCCCCCCCCCCCTGTTATATTCATGTGGGCTCTGAAAGAGAAGCACATGATGGAGAGGAGAGAGGGAACAGAGGAAGCCGATGGAGATTGACAGCTCAGTTACAGGATCATGTCGGAACAAAGACAGCTGAGTTACAAGCCTAAAAACAGTCACATAGAAACATCAATAGAGTGAGAAAGGAACTGAGAGGCCATCCAGATAATCCAATCTTAATGAATGAACGGTCATGATATATGCATCTGATAGTACTGTGGACACAGTATCACTCCAATTATACCAGTGGCAAATACATTATTCAGGGAGGAGGACCAAAGGTATGTGTGTCACTTTCAGCTGGATCCAGTGTCCATTTAGGCGTCTCAGTTACAGCAGTTACTCACAGGGAATAAAAACAAATATTCTGCTTTGAAATTCCATTCATTTTACCCAATGTTTAATTTCAGCGATGGAACGGGGTCAATTTGGAGAGGAACAGGACGCTAAGGACGGCTGTGGGACGAATGGAATAGTGGGGATTCTCCGTGATATGCATCTTGATTCGAGGCATAGTGAAAGTGGATTCAGAAACATGCACACAGATACTGTTATAAGTGCAGGGCTAAGTGGAATTCAGTGTGGGAACAAACATAATGCCCCCTGACACAAAGCTCCAGAGCAGCTTTTCTTTAACACAACAAGACAACATTTAAGCTCTGCTGGGGCTTTAGAGAGACTGCGGGGATTCACAAGGGTAACAACACTGTCTGCTTCTATTAAATAAAATATAATGCAGGATCTGTGTGTGCTCCCATGTGGAATTCCTGGCCAAGGACTCCAGACGACTTTATTTAGACAACAGACTGAAATACCATCCCTTGGATAAGATAGGAAGATGGAAGACACTGTTCTCTATCTACAGAAAAATGTGTGTTCACATGTCAACGTTCCAGTAAACCATTCAAAGAGCTGTCACTAAATACCTCAGTTTAATATAGAATGTACTTAAAAAGCCAAAAGGTCAATCTGTTCCCAAGAAAAGCTCTAGAAATACAGTCAGGAAAGAACATTATTCAATCTTGTTGGTTGTTGATGTTAAAATGGAAAAAGCTACTCTCTGATTCCAACCCTCCTTTTTAATCAAATGTGACATTAAGGACTCTGAAAGCCTAGATTTTCTACATCATGATCCAAAAGAGAATTACAACCTTCAGTTCTATTTAGCTGTACGACGTGTTGAAGCATCTTTCAGGTTATTGTTTTATAGCTTTATCTCTGGTATGCTTTGTCCGACACCAAACAACCGACAGACAGTTAGCTACTAGCTAACCATAGCGGAATATGAAGCAAGCTAACATAAGTCGAGTAGATTTAAACAAACTTCAGCTCAACTACACAGAACTTTGTACAGCAGCAGTGTTTTGATAGTTATTTGGTCAAATGTTCTTTGTTTGGTTTTTAGATTGCATCATTTGTCTTCACTTTAGTTTGATGCTCCAGAGACCTCATTTCTCAGTGGATCAATAAAGTTTCATGTTATTATCTCTTCTGAAATTAAACATCTTCCCACAGACTCTTACAATGTGTAATATAAGGAGCTGCAGTTTGCTTTTTGTTGGCATACTCATTTATCCTCAGCCCACCTCATCTACAACGTCAGGCACTTATTTCCTTCATTTACCAGAAGGCCTTTCTGCAGCTCTCAGTAAAGTACTCAGGGGTTAAGGGATTCAAAGGAAACACTTGTACTTTGAAGCAAAAAGTGAACACTTATGTTGTGATTGTAATTTGAACTCTTGACCCCTGTTTTCCAGAGGAACAGGCAAAATGGGCCCAGAAAAGCTAAATATATTTTTGCAGTGTTTAGTATCGATTCTAAAGGACCCACGGGTTCATATCCGATGTTTTGGAATGGAGGCAGCAACAAATCTGTGTAGCCGACCTCTGACCTCCTTTACAGGGTGACAAGCATGTTCCAGGTCCCTTACATTACAAAAATAAGATCTCCAACGGAATTGAAACAGTTTCATATTATTTACTGTACTGTCTTTTACATGTATTTTACTGGTAGCTTCTCTAATCTTATATTTGCATGTTTTTTCAACAACAGAAATCATTCGTATTTTAACTACAGAATACTATAGTCAAAATGTGACATCTACTACAACACTAAATGATTTTGAGTACGCCTCAGGACAGGATTAGACACTTCCAATTGAAATTGAGTGTAGTGTGCTTCTCTCTGTACACACTGTAACGCTTCCTGCTCACTGTCTAGGCTCACTAGTAGACACAGCAGTCAGTATGGATCCGATGACAGCTACACTACTCCGATTACTGAGGTTCTACTTCCTCCCTCGCCTTCAATAGTACACAACCAGTCATCTGATAGGGTCACATGATAGTGATGCAATGCAGTAGCTGTTTGGTCGACCAATGAAAACAGAAGATTGCATGCACAGGTGTCCTTCAAGGTGAAGCTGTGGTAAATGCATTGGAATGTGGTTTTTAGTGAATAGCTGGATTTAATCGGCTCATTTGGCTATATGAGAGCAGCTGGGTTGTATATTCAGTATGTGCTTCAATTTGTGGGACTGTAATATTCTCTGTGACAAAGATCAAAACAACAATCTGATCTGGAGTTCAATGAAGGTTTAAATGTTGATGTCTTCAGGATGGAAAGCTCTGAGATCATCCCGGGCAAATGTAGTTGGCTTGTTTGACTCGGGGCTTCGCCTGTGGTGTTCTTTAAACAGACCAGACAGACGCTCAGCCATCTGCTCTCCTGACCGCTTTTCAGCCACCGCTTCCTCCTCTAAGTAGGAAAAAATGACGGCCTGGACTTTTTCACATTTCTCACAGCTGGCTGCAGCATTAAAACCCAGGTTTAAAGGGAACAATAAAACACAGGAAAAGATGGAGCAGCTGTGTATCGGATCCTATGATGAGATGTATTGGTCCTGCAGTGGGCCAATAGTTTGACACGCTTGAGAAATCTCATTTACCGTGTGGTTTTATAGAGAAAATATAACAATCAATCTAACGAAAAAGCCCAGTATAAATAGACTTTTATAGCTTTCCAAAGCAAGGTTCGGGCACCTTTGGGGCTCCTGTTGGCATCCAGCTAAACAGAGAAAAATAGAGAATGAATTCCTCTATTGTAAGTTTAACCGCCCAATTTCCACATATATGGACAGTAAAATGTATCTTGGGATATTATCAAAAATAAAATATGCTATTGCATGTGGCTGGGCTTTTTTTTAACAGCTGTTTATTAGTCTCTCAGCTTCCTCTGCTTTAATTCTAGCTTCACATGGCTGTAGTAAATGCCAAGTCTGCCATCTGGTGGTCAACTCGTGGAAACACAAGATTATAAAATAAGGGTAATGTCATTTTGCTTTTTCTTACAAATATATATTTTTGCTAAAGGAATAAATTGTGAGAATGTCGGCTTTACGTCATTTAAAAAAGTTCAGTTGAAGCTGCTTTAGAAATAAAAAAGCAAGTTTTTTTTTTAGCAGTATAGAAGATGCAGTGTACCAAATAGTTCTGACTCATTTTTGTTGGTTACCATCATTTAAAAAAGAGAAATAAGGAGATAAGTGGCTTCAATGTTGACCACTTATTTTCAATCTAGGAACACATTTAACATTTAAGTAGGATCTGATTGAAACAACAGCAGCTAAATGCAGATGCCGTAATTGTTTGCATCCAGGATTCAAACTAACTGCTGTTTAAAATGGCCGTACACACAACTAGTCCATCCACACAGGTCCTACTGATCAGACTCTTCCTAACAGAATTTTAAGCCAGCTGTAGAACAATGGTCTGGATGGGAATACATCAGATTTTATCGAAAATTATGTAATTCACACCGAGTCTTTGTTCCCCTGTGGTAAGGAAACTCCCTCAACCCATCGTTTTGTCTTCCTCTCACACACACATGCACACACACAGCTCTGTGGGTCAGGCAGCAGTTAGCAGCAGCCAGACAGCTGAGCCATTTCTCTGGGTCCCTGGGGAAACAATTACACCCCACAGGCAGGAGGACCGGACAGGAGCTGGGAATTAATGATGGGCTCATGACTGAAGCTGAAGAAAAGACTCCCAGTGAAAAGACGTGTCGCTAACCGAGACCCCGCTGGTTTGTTGCCACCTTAGTAAATTATGTTTATTCATTGTTCCCAGTATCACTTAATTGTATTACAGTTACTGCTAAGCATGGTATGCAGATTGTATAGTATGATGATGTTTTATTACACTGAAGAACACATTAAGGCTACTAGTTAAGTGAAAACATGTCAGTGTATACATAAAACACAACACAGCCTCATGTCCAAATAGCAAAATACTAATTTTCTATGGAGGGCAGCATGTGTACACAACTTATTATTAATTTTAACAGCTTCCACGGTATAGCCTTACTTTAATTATACAGTAAAAAGAGGTAAAAAATCGGACTATCAAAACAGAATTACTACAAATGTTATTATCTTTGAACACTGCGGCAGGTGCAACAAGCATTTTGGCCAAGTTAAATTAATGTTTGATCCAATAGAAGTATTTCATCAAGTTTTGATTTACTAGTTTGTTGGGTAAAACTCAGACAATCTAAACTAAATTACTACAAATATTACACAAAAAATGTTGAACACTGCAGCAGGCGCAACAAGCATGTACGTTTTCAAATAAACTGATACTTCCTTTAGAAATAACTGTAGAATAAAACTGTAGAATGCCTTTTTGATCTGTAACTTTTTAAGGATCTGTGTTTGTATCACAACTGTTTGGTATTAGGAATACTCCTGAATGATGTCACAGTATACCGTAATGTAATAAGAGGTATTGGTCACTATAAACCCATTTAGTAGCTACAAGTGACACACCTTGATCCCCTCAAGGTAGTAATACAAGATAAATACAGTGATTACTTTGTCTGGGACTATTTATGTCTTTTATTTGCAGACATGACATTCTATTTGTTATTTATTACAGGATGCTGTGGCGCCATTTCTACAGGCCCATGTACAGATGGTTAAAGTGTCCTCTATTGACCTTAAGAGCACTAGAGGACGCCATTATGGTGTGATATACAAATGTTTTAAATCTTGTGATTATCTAGACATTTGGTGTCTTGTTTAAAAAATATAATGTCACAGGCCAAACATAATCATGTGTCTTATAGGCAGTTCTTTTAATGTGCAATTTTTCGTTAACCATTGTTCAGATTTCGAACACACACAGACACACAGACACAGACACAGACACAGACACCCTTTTCTCCCTCTCACAGTTCTTACAGCTTTCCCCTCATGCTTCAGCATTAGGAGCGGCCACATCCCAGCCCCCACCTCCCCACAACCCCTCTAGCTGCCTCCTCCTCCTCATCTCCCCCCCCCCCCCCCCCCTCTCTCCCTACCTCTCGTGGCCCGTTGCCATGGAAGCTGATTGGAAGGATCGCTCTGTCTCTCCGGCACTTTGCCACTCCATCTCTGCCAACAGAAAACGAGGCGTTTCAGAGCACAGCACAAAAACCAAAAAAAGCCCTTCTCCCACAGCAAGTGGAGGTCAGGTATTATTGACAGTAATAATAAAATACAAGTACAAACACAGATTATCATGGTGTACTTTTATTTTTGTGTTTCGTAACTTTTCGTTTCTTTCCAATTGCCAAATTCTAAAACAACTACGATCACATATTGAATAGAGAGACAATTTGAATCTGACGCTGTTCTGCAACGATGTGAGAATATTTATTCATACCAGACACTTGATTTATGTCGTGCTGTCTCTTATGCCCTTATGGTCAAGGACATTTTACTCCGCGCTCTGGTAGTTTGATCCCACAGTACCCTGACACCTTCAGTACTTTTTAATTACCCTCTCTACTAAGAATACAGAGGACAATAATCAGCTGTTGCAAATCTGAATGCACTGCAATTATGTTCCAGCTCAACAATCAACAACTACTTCCATAAATGCACCAATTACGAGTCCTATTTCGACACTTATGATTGCATTTTAGTAGGTCACCAAGCTGTAATATTAATTGGAGAAGGCAGATGTTTCCTGTGAGTCCATATTGTTTCCCACAACCTCTTTGCTGCGATGGAAAAACAAAATGTCTTCCTGCCAGATGAATCACTAACACACTCTATCTCTTTTTGCTCTCTCTGTGTACAGTACATACAAACTCAAGGCTAAAGCTCTTGGTGACTTTATTTCAGATATTTTTCAACCAAGCACATCTATCACAGAAATATAGAACATTCAGGGTCTGGCATTGCTATACAGTAGCAACAATGTTTAGGGGCTTGTGAGTGTATGTTGGGTGGGTAATCAAATAAATAGTAGTTTATATATGGTGCTTTTGAAAAGTAGGGTTTAATGAGTTTTTCATGACTATAAATTGGGGTTTATTTTAGACCACATTTTACAGTTAAAGCATGGTAACATTGAGCAGGTGTAATGTTTACCATGCTTAACATCCTGGTTTAGCATGTTAGCAAGCAACTCTGTAGACACATGTGTTTTGGTGGGATTTGGTTGCATGCACGTATCTAGCAAGGTGACATGCACTACCTAAAATGCAATCTTATTACAATGAATTTATCTTTTTAATAATCTCTATTAACAGATATCTGCACATGAATGCAGATAGACCACCTTGTTTTTGAAGTTGCTAAAAACCCATTGGCTACACTGAAACACCAGAAATATTGGCTCTCTTCGTCACACAATAGCCGATGGGTGCTGATATGAGCTTCCAAATAACTCAAACTTACCACAAAGTACAGCTGAGGGTGATGACAGTGGACATGGATTGTTAACATTGTTGGTTAAAGGACACACAAGACTCTTAATTAAATCATAGACTCGGACGTGTGAAATGTGGGAGTTGCTGTGTGCGTCTTTGAGCTGTTCATATTTAAAGAGGCAGTGAGTCATCATGCATGGGCAACAAAAAATATTTTTCTAATTTTAGCCATTTGCACATCTCACACTGCCTCAAAATTACTCACTGAGAGATTTAACCGGGAGAGTGTATCTCATTACCCAATGTCACACGGTAGCATAGAGCCACTGGTAATGGTAACTGCGTGGTGTTGATAGTGACAGTTTGAAACATGTTGTGACTCTACTGCCTGTACAGCTCGTGTCCTAAATATAGATTCTGCTTTCCATTTGTATATAAAGTGCAGTTAAATTGAATTAATTGAAATTCACAGGATTCAAAGTAAAAACAATTGTTTGCTACTCAACATGCCAACGTTATTAGCATTAGCCTATGGCATTTTGTCCTTTTGTACACTAGCTAGCAGACTTATGCTCTACTTTTAGCAAACAAATAAGTATTTATGCTGGATGGTTTCAGTCGCTGCATTTCCTGGCAGAACAGCATGGTTGACTTTCAGCCTGCATTCAAGTTGTTCCAGTCTGAACACCGTTGAGTCACAGCGGCCAATCCTGCTGTAACGAAAGCAACACGATGGTTATGAATTCTTGCTACATGTAAGTGTCCATTGACAGCTGGTTAGTTAAGACTGTTTTTCTTTATGACTTTTCCAAAAGAATTATTAACGGGAATTACATTTTTAATTTGATTTGAAATATTTCCATGTGCAGTCAATTTAAATGTACTTTCACTTTATTGATTTCCATAGGTTTTGGTTAGTTCTGCCCTTTCTCTTTGAATTTCACAAAGATAGTCAAAGTGTATAATGTCGTTTTTATGAATTTCCCAGACACGCCTGTTTTTCTGATCTATTTGTTTCGTCTTTCAATTCAAATTTGGAATTAGCTTTATAGTAATTCAAAGAACATATATAGCAGAGCAAAACATTTGCATTACAAATACCCTGCAAAGCAATACATGTGAAAATAAAACTGTATGGAGTGGAAAAAAACTGATATCCCCTGACGTCAGGTGGAGAGATTCAGTTTCCACTTATTATTTTTTGTTGTAATCGGAGGAAATACTGCTTGTACATTTGCCCCAATTATTTTCCTGGAGACTGGAAATTTCAGCTTGCAGAACCTACACTTTCCACCCCCATCCCCATCAACCACCCCCCTTTCTCTCTGTGATCTCAAAGGGCTTGCTTCACCTCAGTCAAGCTCCAGCGCTCCAGCCGGCAGCAGCATCGAGCTAACAAGTCTTTGTGAGGAGAGAGAGAGAGGGAGGGAGAATAGGGAAGGGGGTGCAGAGCAGGAGAGAATCAGACAGGGAGAGACATAGGATGAGGGTGCAGTGGGAGAACGCTTAAGATAGTGACAGAGGCAGAGGTGTTCGCTGTTGCACAATAGTGCCAGAGGCTGCTGGCAAGAGGGAGGGAGAGAGGCATCATGGCAGCACTCTCTGCATCATCACGACACATGGGGATGTTTGGCTGCTGCTGGTGAACACTGGGATGCAGAGTGGAGGACTTCCTGGAAACCAAAGGCAAGCCGAGGAAACAGGTCAGTGACGGGGAAAGAAGAGAGCCTCTCTGCATGCAACACAGGGGATTGAATCACGTCACAGGATGATGCTGATACATTTGTCAATAAGAATCCCCCTGTAAGGTGTTTGGGATGTGGAGATGCATGGGGAGTGGGAGGCTGCGCATGCAGGCAGACACATGTGTGTGTAGTACGTGTGTGTGTGTTAACATATCTCCACCAGGGACGTTTAGGTTAAAGAGGCAGCACATGAAACTATCCTGTATTCAAAACTGCATCACCATCTGTGACACAGAATTATGTTACATAGAATGATGTGTTCAGGGTCCCCTTCTACTACAGATGTTTTTGGTTTTACAGCTTTTTGCCCTGAAAAGCAGTGAGCTTGTGTATAGGACTTAATACCAGGTAGTTTGGAGAAGAGAAGGGAATTCATATTAAAAAGAAATTAGAAAAAGGAATGGAATAATAAGTAAGTCGCACAGGAATATTTGTTTTGCAGTGGGTAGTAAGAGGAAGGAGACAAAGCCTGTTAAAGCTTGGCCCAGCATTCGGCTCTGCTGCATATGATGTAATCCTCCAATCGGTCTATGCTCAACACTTTTTCCAAATATGAAATTTAAGTGTCAAAAAAGTGCAGAGGACTTAAGACACACTACATCAAAGTGCATTTTATGTGTGTGCAAATTAACTCCAATCAGAAGAGTGTACGCACTCAATTCTCCACAAAAGCAATCAAAACAGAACTACGGTTAATCAAAGTCTTAATTTGATATAAAAGGCAATACACACAAATTGGCCAAGTCACATAACAACACGGGCCAGTTTTGAATAAATTAAAATGATGACACATTTCCTAAAACAATTCATGAGCTTTTTACTGGGCTCTACTTTTAAAAATGTAATATGTTTGACAGTTTTCCAAAAGAAGAAAAACGAATACTTTACCGGTAATTATATCTCTTCCATTCCAATGTTTTTCAAGTTCAATACGAAGATCAGTAATACATTCTGCATAATTAAGCGGTATATTAAATATAATGAGCTTAAGGTAAATACATGTGGAAAAGGGTAAGTATGTGGAAAATGGTTCGAAGTAAGTCTCATTCAATTCACTTTTGTTCCCATTCATTTGTACAGTTTCAGCTTTCCAGAAGGCACTGCTTATCAACATTATTTTACTGGGGGTTCTGAAGGACACAGGCTGTAGGATTCAAAGGTTAAATCTCGTGATTAAAATGGCAATGGACACGGAGGCGTGTAGCGCAGTGGGTTGTGTGTAGGTGTTCGAATCAGGGGAGCACAGGTTCAAACCCCACTGCAGTCAGCATGTCGTTGTGTCCCTGAGACACTTCACCCCAAATTGCTCCTGTGGGGATTGCCCACAGTATTGAGTATGAGCTTTGGATAAAAGCGTCTAACAAGTAACATGTAATGTAATAAATAGTGTTTTTGCAGATTCAATTCCACTGTTTTTCACATGTTAGAGTTTATTCAATTATATGTTTAAAGAGTAAATCAGAAAAAAGTGAATTCCATTAAAGTTAGCATTTATTTAATTGTGAATAATATCTTTTAAAATTATAATCAATACTCTGGCTTATATCCATCAGTAGTCACCTACCCTAACTTTGGCCTTGTCCCTTGTGCAGGTGCAACCAGTGAGAGGAGCCACATGATGAGTGGGATCCTGAAGAGGAAGCTTGAGGAGGGCCCGTCCCCCTATCTGTCCCTGCAAAGGTCTGACGATGAGGTCTCCTGCAGCGACAGCGGCAACAGCAGTGACAGTCTCAACCACCCCGTCCCCTCCGGGCTGCTGGACTGTAAGACACAACACAACACTGGACATTGAGATGGAGAAACTTTTCAAAATTGGGTCAATCTTAAAAGTCAATCTTTTGCCATCTAACAAATGTTGTAAAAGAGCTGATTATAACAACTTAAAAAGTGACGATGACGTGATTACCCAAATTCAACAGCAACAGAGCTGACAAAAAGGCATATCTTTTCAGCTGTAACTTAATATTTATATATTTGAATCTGGCTTTTGCTCTATTTATTTGACGGAAATGGCTGTCATTATGTTCAGCAATGATTTGCACGTTGCATTTGACTGCTCCATTTTATTCTTACTTCACTTCTCTCTGCCTTGGACACAGTTTTAATAGACGCAATCTTATTCGAATAACAACTGTGTTTGTACCAAGAACCTAGTGTTATTCCTACTTTACCACTGGAAGTTTTTCTGTTGTCATTAGAGCGCCTCCTGCCCCACTACCCTTGTGATGTTCCCCAAACTGTTTGACACCAAAAGATCCAGTGACAGCAGAAATGTAACCCAATTCCCAATTGTCTGTGTCAATTCTAGCCACTCTCCAGCAGCCTTCGAAGCGACTGCGTGGTCGCAACGTGCACTTTGAGAATGTGACGGTCTACTACTTCAACCGCCGGCAGGGGTTCACCAGTGTGCCCACGCAGGGGGGCAGCACCTTGGGGATGTCACCACGCCACAGCGGGGTGAAGCATTTCACCCTCAGGGAGTTTGCCATGGAGCAGAAACTGAGCCACCGGAACATGCTGAGGGATCATCTCAAAGAGGAAAAACTCAATGCCATCAAACTCAAAGTCAGTGGCACGAATCAGTTTCCTAACCGTTTTCCCTGCTTAAAATATTGTATATGTGTAGGCGTAGTTTATGGTCCAATCTTAACTAAACGTTCTTGTCCTCCAGCTGACCAAGAATGGCACTGTGTCATCCGTGGAGGCGGATACCCTGACGCTGGATGACATCTCCGAAGATGACCTTGATGTGGACAACACGGAGGTGGATGATTACTTCTTCCTCCAGCCTCTGACTACCAGGAGGCGGCGCACCCTGCTCCGTTCCTCGGGGGTCCGACGCATCGACGTGGAGGAGAAGCACGAGCTGCGTTCCCTCCGCATGTCGCGAGAGGAGTGTGGGTGCCGCTGCCGGGGGATATGTGACCCAGAGACCTGTGCCTGCAGCCTGGCCGGCATTAAGTGCCAGGTAAATGGAACTGTGGTGAGGCCCATCTATAATACTAAAGTGTTGTTCATGTCTGTCAAAGCAGTACAGCTTCCTCAACACTTCTTTGGCTATTTGGTCAAAATGGTAAACTGGTACTAATTGGTTTCTACTGGTAAAGAACCACCAGATTCCAACAGACAGACATTTGTTTACTTTGCATTATCCAATTAGGGACTATAGCTCTTCCTAAATAACTCCATGACTGTACAAATGAAATGAAAGCTTTTTAGCCTAGCTTGCTAGCTTCCACTTTTTGAGTGAAACACAAACTTCAGGAAGACTGCCTTATTGGTTGTCCAAATGATTCAGTGATAAAAAAAAATGGCTAACAGTTCATGAGTATTGCAAAATGACCTTTGTAGGTAACGGCGTGTTTCTTATCTTCTCTTACTTTTTTTTTTTTAATCAAGAAATAGTGCCCACCCTCTGACTCCTGAGAGCTTCTTTACACATCACTTCTAAATTACAACACATCTGGAGAAACCCTGCAGATTTCAAGAAAAATAACAAACGTTCAGATTTAGTTTTAAATAGCCTTTTACCCATATAAATTATTGGAGTTATATTCAAAGTTTTGGAGGATTTCTAAACCAAATTATTGAATAAAGAAGGGTATTTTTTACAAGAAGCTCTACTGCGTTAAGGTGAGTAACTTGTACACCCACAGTGGATTCTGCAGCTCTCCCCAAACACGACCAGCTATCCCTGAATTCCCTTTTTGTCACTACTGTTTAACACTGGATTTATTTTTGTTTTTCCTCAGGTGGACCGCATGTCCTTCCCCTGCGGCTGCACCAAAGACGGCTGCAGCAACAACACGGGACGCCTGGAGTTCAACCCGGTCCGGGTGCGCACCCACTTCCTGCACACCATCATGAAGCTGGAGCTGGAGAAGAGTCGAGAGGAACAGCAGCATCAGCAGCAGCAGCAGCAGCAGCAGCCGGAGCAGCAGCTTGTAACCAATGGCAACGGTTACCATGGCGACTCCTCCTTAGTCCAACATCAGCAGCAGCAGCAGCAGCAGCAGACGAACCTGCAGTTTCCATTGATGAGTGGCACACAGCACATTCCCATCATGCACCTCCAAAACACAGGCGACACCAATTCACATATAGATGAAGAGGAGGAAGAGGAGGAGGAGGAAGAGGATGATGAGGCCTATGAGGACGATGAGGATGGCAGCAGTGTTTGCAGCGGGCTGTCGGACTGCAGCACACACAGCTTAGACACAATGGACACCGAGGAGGACGAAGAAGAGGACGAGGAAGATGAAGAGGATGATGAGGAAGATGATGAAGAAGAGGATGATGATGATGATTGGGATTGCTCAATGCATGGAACAGGTCCACCGCCCTACACTGTCCCCCTTCCCTCTGTGATGAGTTACTCTAACATGAGCCCCTTCCACAGCTCGCAGCATTATCAAACAGACTCTCCTGCTTTTCTCAGTGAAAATGTCCCCACACTCCCCACAGTAGAAACAGCATTAGAGTCTGAAATCAAACTCCACTGCCAAACAGAGCAGCAGAGCCACTTCCCTGACCCCACCGAGTCCATGAAGCTCCAAACCTGTGCACATGTGGACACCCGTGAGAGTATCGCTGCCCCCGCCAATGCAGCTGATGAACAGCCCCCCTCCACAGACCTCCATAACAATCCAGAGCTGCGTGACTCACAGACTGAGGCTCCGTCTGGATCTGAGGAGCAGAATAAAGAGGAAATAATCGAGCGACCAGGACTGAAAAAGCAAATCACAGACACATTATGCTCTGAGAGTACCTGATGACTCAAAGGCTTTAGAGAGGGATCCATTCATTTAAGAAAATGTTATCAAGAATGGTGCCCTTCAAACATCAGTTTCTATTGATAAGTGATTCCGAATGAGTCATACAGATTGTTGTTGAAGACTGGTAAACTATAAAAAGTTCACGAACAAAACTCAATAAAACAGCGTTTCTGTATTTAACTATATGGAGTACAATGTATGCCCTCATAAAGTATTTGATCATTACAGCATGTTTCCTGGTTGTGAACGGCATCTATGACAAATCAACATTTTGAGGTGCTTGTATTGTTTCAATATTTTTGCATTGTGCTGGTGTCTCATTGATGCTGCTAATTGTTCTTTATGCCTGTATTTATAGCATGTGTCCAGTTTACCTATGTTTCCAAGGCTTAACACAAACTGTAAAATGATAAACGGTGTCACTGACAAAACACTGGCCTTCATATTAACACATAAATCTGATTCAATTCGTACTGAAGCTCTTTCTTTTTTTGGCTCACATGTTAGCCTAGTTAGCAGCTTGTCTTTGCTTCAGAAGTTTCTTAAATCAATTTGGACATTAAAGCAGCTTTAAATAAGTTTATGATTAACAATGATATTTGTAGTGACCAACCCATAGGCTAAACAATTATCCGTGACTCTGCAGTTTCTCTTAGTTATGGAAAATGTTAGCATATTTCAGCTCATTGTTTTGGTTTTAGGCCTTAACTTTACTGTTTTGGTTCACACAACTTTCTCTCTCCCTAAAAATGCTCTAAACATCAAAAGCTAGCATTTAGCTGATGAACATAAGGGAGTTTTTAGCAGCTAAAGAGTCAGATAATATCCTCTGCAAGAATTGGTAGAGAGCTAAACAGAGCTAAAAGGAGAGAAAGATATTGCATTTATATTCATTAGGTTGACATGACTGTAAATGCTAAAGTGGTTACGTATTTGCTGGATGTTTCAAACGTACCTGTTTGCTAACGCGTTAGCTGTATCGGCTTAGCTCTGCTGCTAGGTCAGAATTGTGCTTACATGGCCCAAATAATAAGTAGTTGTACGTTTTCATCTAGTGTGCAGTCAACATTATTGTTTCCAATAACTTTTTCTATGACCAAATACTTTCGAAACTGATGACATTCCTATAAGCCAGGCTTTACTTTGACTTAAGTGCAAAGTAGCTAGTTTCACGTGCAACAGCGAGCAGTAATATCAGCTTGTTATCATAGCATTTGTGAGCTTGTTTACATGCTAACGGTAGTATTTAGCTTAAAAGTAATTATCAGAACTCTGCTGCCATAAGCATGTCTGCCAAAGTTATCACACTATATAATAACAAAAATAATGTCTTTCTGCCTAAAAAACACAATTTGTCTGTGCTAAATTTATCATTTTACAGTTGTGTGAACAATGTGATAAAACTGCACTTTTTTTTCCAGTTTTCAGGTAACTTAAGGCTTGTGTCAAGAGTAGTAACGTTGTCTCTCAACACTGCCAAACTGGAGTCCAAATATATTTCATGTTCTTTTTAAAGCAACTGTGAGTTTCCATGAGTGTCAATAAAAAAACTCTTAAAAGTGGTTCACTTTGTTGTCTTGGTGTTAATACATCTAAGTTCAAGTCAAGTTTAATTCCTGAAAAAAAACTCCACTATCAGTGCATTTCTAGTATTCCACTTTCCTACCAGCAGATGGCACATGTTGACAACAACTGACTATATCTTGCTTATCACTGACATCCTCCAACAAGAGGGGTTCAATGGTTTTTTCTGACGTCAGTGAATTGTCTACATGTTTCCTGCCTCAGGACAAACTATGACATCGCTTTTGTTCGGAACATCTGTGCACAGTCACGAAACAAACATTAGTTCTTATTGAAAACTTCACAAATGTGCATACAATCCAGGCTATGGGGACATGACGTCACACATGTGGCTTCTTTAGGTAAACAAACATATATTATTCGGGTTTAGTATTTAATATACAAATAGAACAATACCCATTATGACACAGGACAAACATACAGATTTAGTAGTTTCACTTATTGCTCAATATCCTCCAGGAAAACTTTGTATTGTTTAATTCACTTTTATGGATTATACTTTTGGCCATTATCATAAAACATATACTGAAAGTAAGCAAACACTTCCCCATTAAAATAAAAAAGATTATTAGTGACACATCTGCAAATGTCTTGCCAGATTCTCTTGATGTGAGAACAAAACTGTTCCTGAATATTCATCACAGACACATTTTACATTTCTGCATATGGTGATTGGCAGGGTAATATGAATGATTAATTTTGAAGGACACTTTCTTAACATTATTCATGATTAGATGTCTATGAGAAGGCTTTTCACAGTATATATAATTTACAAAGTGTTTCTAATATGCCAGGACATTTGGAATAGACAATGAGTCAGTTATTTAAATAATGAATGGATTGTAACGTATAGTCTCACTATCTTTTGTTGTGCTATTTCATTTCCTTATTTCTTTTATTTCTTAAGTATTTTCACTCTTGGCAGAGCCTTATTTTATGTCTCACTGTTTCTGTGTTGCACCATGCAGCCTGCAGAGAGCACTGTAGGGTTTGTGTGTGTGTGTGTGTGTGTGTGTGTGTGTGTGTGTGTGTGTGTGTGTGTGTGTGTGCGTGTGTGTGTGTGTGTGTGCGTGTGTGCGTGTGTGAGAGAGGAAGATCTCAGACAGGAAGCTCTGTGTTCTCCCTCATCATTGTGTTCATGTATAGAAATATGTTTCATGGCTGGCTGAGCCTCCACACAGCTGCAGCAGGTGTTGTGTTAGTGTGTACATTCAGCAGTGATGTCACAGTGTGTACAGTGAAGGCAACACAAGGTCACCCCTGACCCCTCCCTGCTTATATAACCAAAGGTGTGTGTCCCCTGTGGTGGGGGGGTGGAGCAGGGGATGCCTGCTTGAATTCAGCCAACAAGCGGGTAAGCAGAGGCGCTGCTGATCAATCACAGGCAGAGGAGCTGTAATGCTAGGTTGCCAGGCAACAGGGAGAGAGAAGAAGAAACAGTAAAGCGTCTGGAGGGGAGTGGGGGGCTGGGTGGGGGTAGTCTCAGCTTTTCACCTCCTCCTCCTCCTGAATGTCTGGATCTTAATGTGACTTTGTTCATATGTTTAATGCTGAATATTGTGTTGAAATGCACCTTTAAAGAACAAGTACTACAATAGGAGATTTGCCCGTCTTCTTTAAATAAATTCTACTGTCACTATGAGCAACAGATGCATCAACAGACAGGTTAGGACATGTCAATACAATGCGAGGAAAATGTTTGTTCTACTCATTTTAAGAGAATTAACTGCTGCAAATAAGAGTAACGCATCTGAAATAAGCACACATATCATATTAGTGAATATTTATATGGAGTGTCTTGCCTTACCATGGACACGACACATGACATTTACATGTTCACACCTGTCTTTACGTGTTACATTAATGCACATCATGAGACTGTGTGTATGCTTCAAACTGTTATTTTATATTTATACAGTACATAATGAAGATATTATAGAAACTTATAGATGAATATTTAAAAATGTATAATTTATAAAATAGTTTTCCTTCTACTCTTATTTACTTGGTTATATTTTTTATAGTTTCACAGAAAAAAGTAAAAGGCCAGGAAGAAAACAGAAAAGAAACAAGCGTTAACAAAAAATATGTCCTTTATTCTTTTGGCTTTGAAATGATATCACCATATGAGCGGACAGTAGTCACTTCCTGCATGCAGTTCACTAAAACACTACAAGCGCAATGAGAGATGGCTACTGATTGCTTCATGGTTTATCTACACGTATGGGGACCTTACATCATGTGTTACAGTGCAGAAAGGCAAAAGAAACTTCTAGAAAAAATGCAGACTGGAAAAATGCACTCATATCTACAGTAAAAATGTTATTTATAATCGGTGGAACAAGCCACAGTTGCACACGCGCGCTCACAAGAAGAGACTACATTCTCCTGCTCTTACAAACACACACAGACACACAGCTCACACGCGTATGACTTACATAAATGTGGGGATAAAAAGTGCTCTTACATCAAATGTAAGTGTGATGCATACTGTGGGCCGAGAGAGCTATACTATATACAAACCAAAGCACTATATTGAACCACTCGCTTCTCGGTTTAAACAACATGGATGCCATACAAACATTTGTGATATTATAAATGTGATATATTGTCATGTTTTAGCTTGACATTTTCTTAAAGTATATTTCATTAGTTCAGGGTTTTTTTCTTTACAGGAGCTCTGGGGGAAACAAATACAAGTGTCACTTTAAAAAGGCATAGTTCTGATGTTTTGGGAAATTTGCGATCATTTCCAAAAATGTCAAACTATTTCTTTAACGCGTCCTATTCCTTGCATACATTCAGCTTCTCTGTGTTACTATGGGAGATGTGAGTCCAGAAAGAAGCACGATATAGACTCAGAAATCACTGATGGCACACCTGTGAGTACAATTCATCCGTTGCACTTCAGCTTTGCGTCCCATTGTCTGCCAGTGGTGAGTTTACAACAGTGAAAGCAGACGTATTCTCACAGTGAAACAAAAAAGTAGAAAACATTATATAAAAAATAAGAAGAATGCAGAGTACTTATTAAGTGATACAGCCATCGTTAAATTCAAGACACTGGATTTATAGTAGTAGCAGTGGCACTAGCTACAGACAACTTAACAGTACACTCAAGTGTGTCAGATAGTAACAACAACCAATAGGAAACTCACAAGCATTTTGCACAGAGGCTTTTCACTGACCCTTTGTGTTCACATATAACACTCCCATGTCAGGCCTCCTTCTAAGATACACACTGTGTCCCCACTTTAGAAGCTGTAAACAAATGTCTCTGATGCATTGTTATTTTTTGTTCCTATTTATAAACCTTTATTTTTTCCGGTCCTTCCCTTTGATTTCCTTCTCGTATTTGTCCTTGTCCGACTTGGTCACGCTGTTGTAGGAGGGCGGGGAGGCCGTGGAGGGCGTCATGTCCGTTTTCTCCGAGGTGGACATCTCGCTGAACTTGCAGATGACCATGACGTCCTTGTCGGGGTCCCGCATGCCCTCCTTCAGCTTCTCCTTGTAGAGGGTGGAGGCCTTCTTTATGGTGCTGAAGAACAGGAAGCGGCGGAAGGCTCTCTGGATGATGAGCGCCGCTATGTCCTCCTGTTTGCGGCGCAGCGTGGTGGTGATGGGCTCGTAGGACACCTTGGAGGGGTTGGAGGCCATGAAGCGCTCCTCCATCTGCCCGCGCAGCACGTCCATCTCGCCGCTCTCGCCCAGCACGCGCTTGGTGAAGGCGAACAGGATGTCCAGGCAGTGGATGCGCTCGCCGCTCACCATGGGTAGGTCCATGGAGATCAGCTGGAGCATGTTGGGTTTGGGCATGCGCAGCGGCGGGTCCAGGGCGTCGGCGAAGTCCGACAGCTTGCTGTACTCCATGAACTGAGTGGCGCCGGGGTCGAAGCGCTCCCACACCTCGTAGAACATCTCGAAGTCATCCTCGCTCAGCGGCTCGGCGCTCTCCTCCGTGGCCACGCTGAAGTTCTCCAGGATGACGGCGATGTACATGTTGACCACGATGAGGAAGCAGATGATGATGTAGCTGACGAAGAAGAAGATGGCCACCGACGGGTTGCCGCAGTTACCTTTGTAGTTGTTGCCCGGGTGCTCCATCTGGCTGTCACAGTCGGGCTCCCTCTTGTTCAGGATGGGGGCCAGCAGCCTGTCCCACCCCCCTGACGTGGTGATCTGAAACAGACAGATCATGCTGTTCCCGAACGTCTCGAAGTTGAACATGTCGTCGATCCCCGCCTCTCGCTTCACGTAGGCGAAGTTGGACATGCCGAAGATGGCGTAGATGAACATGACCAGGAAGAGGAGGAGTCCGATGTTGAACAAGGCGGGGAGGGACATCATCAAAGCGAAGAGAAGGGTCCGGATGCCTTTGGCACCTTTGATCAGGCGCAGGATGCGACCTATCCTGGCCAGACGGATCACTCGGAACAGCGTCGGGGACACAAAGTACTTCTCGATGACTTCGGATAAAAACATACCTGCAAAAGCAGAAAAAACATCAGCAGGCCATTTTACTTATACAACAGTAAAAAGCTTTCGCACCTTTAAGGGGAGGTTTGGATTTTGCTGGGGTTGTATGAGGTTTTTCTCTATAAACAGGAGATTGTTTGCACGTCCTCAGTTCAATGTGTACATTAGAGCAATACATTGCTTACCTTTCTGCTGGCACTCCACTGTACGTAGAATTGACTCTGGACCTAAAAACATCTCATCTATCCAATGAAACATCTCCCTCCTTACCTACAATGGACAGGATCACCACCACAAAGTCGAATATATTCCACCCGATGGTGAAGTAGTAGTGGCGCAGGGAGATCATCTTGAGCACACACTCCCCGGTGAAGAGCGTGATGAAGACCAGGTTGATCCGGTAGAGCATTAAGGCGGCTTCCTTGGTCTGGTCGTCCGTCTCCACCATCATGGTCACCATGTTGAGGCAGATGAGGATCATGATGACGATGTCGAAGGCCTG